CTACTAAGACCCACTCACATAGCTGCATGAAGTTTTGGGGCAACATGGAAGCAGTGATAAAAAGGACAATTAAAGAAGAATCGTATTCATTGTGTTGATGCTCCGATTAAGTCTAAATACTGGTAGGAAATCCACTTATGTTATATGGCTAAGCAAAGAATTTAGTACAAATCTCCCCAAGAAAAATTAAAAATTGGCCCAAATAAGACAAGCCCAACAATGCAACTTGTCCAAGCAATAATAGGATAGCGAATCCACACAAGTTCCAGTAAAAGACTAACACATAAAAAACGTTTATGATACATAATCCTAACTAGATTAGCCCAGCTTTGACAAATTCATTGATTTTGAGTTCTGTGAGCAAATCAGACGAAATGGGTATATTAGACCAAAACGTACTGACAAGCATTTGGCGATCGAGAGAGAGTTACACGCGATTGGAGAGCTCTGGTTGAACTATAGCCCATGCGTCTATTCGCATCAGGAAAGGAAGCAGAAGCAGTAGAAGATAGCGAACCCGACCGAGATCGAGAGGTGAGGGAACCATGGGGTTCAATTTGGCCTGTCAAATGAGCAGCCGCACTCCGAATTCTGGCCTTAGAATGCGACAAGGATGAATTAGTTGGCTGAGGAACTCGAGTCCCAGCTAATGTTGATACTGCTGAAGGATCATGCTGTTGATGATTGCGTGTCTGTTGTGACAATCGGTTAGGAGATGCTGAAGGAGAGGCTATAACAGCAGAACTGGACACAGAAGCACCAGATCGATGAAGAGGACCTGGAGGTGGCTCGCCCCGATGCAAGGCTGAAGCATATAAAATATATCAGACTGACTAAAGAGTTGTCAATTAATTCCTTATTGCATTAAAAATCTAAACGCGTCAGATTCTAGTTGATCGACATATGCACTGCTTTATCATTTAATTAATATTAAATCAATTAATTTACGTTACAACTAATGATCAATCTCATTATAGCCCACACTAGGATCCTCGCTAACAGATAGTTTTTAAAATGGAAGATAAGGATTGCGATGGAAGCCTGGAGAATATAGGAGACATGGTATAACAGTACATCACAAATCAAAAATTGTCTGATTATTTCTGCGTGTTGCTGTAATTAACAAACAAAAAAGTTGGACTATTCAAGAGTCCTTAAATCCACCTTAAAAATTCGAAGCCGATATTAGCTAAACGAATAACTCTGCTAATATGTGACTTCCGTGAACAGCAGTCAGAAAGTAACTCACTTGATTGAAACGACGAAAACTATGCATAAGAATGTAGTTTAAGTCATTATCAACGAATCTATAGAAAAAATTCAATAAAGAGCAACGCTTAGCCAGAATCAAATTTTAAGTAGAGACATTAAAAGCGACAACACCATCTGTTCTCGACAAATCAGTGAGGAAAATTCTTTTTAATCACTATTTATTTTTCACCCGAAGCATGATGAGATAGTTTGACTCTGAGGAATATCTATATCTTATGCTCTTTGTCTTCGAATTGTAACCAATTAGAGCCCTGAAAAAGAGTATAATGTTAAAATGAGACAATTGTCATATCAGATCATACCCAATTCGTTTAAAGGAGTCTTCGATGATATACCAAACTATTTGCTGTCTCGAATGTAAAACCGATTAATAAAGATACCGAGCTCTGAAGACGTTAGTCGAGTAAAAATTGCCCCATTTTGGAAGGGCCAAAGAAAGAAGTATATTAATACAAGGCTATCAACGAGATAGTGGAACCTTAGAATAAACTATTTTGTGACCTATTCTAGTTAAATGTTCAATTAATGATCAGAACAGAAGATTAAATGAGTTAAGCATATTAAAGAACGAATTGTTAGCTAAAACGCTGTTTAACAAAATTGGGATAAAAACAAAACCAGTGCTTTAACCCCCATCAATGCATTCAAACGTATATTAAAGAACTAAATATAATATTCAAGCTACAAATAGATTAATAAACACAAAAGCACACCTAGTTAGTGTACGTGATGAGTTAGCTTGCCGAATTGTGGACAACTCTGATAGAAATGGAGATATAATGATATCCATTCAAGGATAAAAGGTCGAATGAATTTTTTAAATGCATAAACTGCAATCAGAACTCAACGTCTTCGTTAATGATTTCATACAAAAATAAGTGCTAACTAATTTAATATTTTGAATGATCTAAGCGAATTTGCCGATAATTAGGTGACTAACCTCCATGGACACGACTTCCCCTCGCACCCATCGATGTGGTGCCGTGAATAGCCCTGGCGGAAGCCCGACGCCTGCGCCTCGACAATGATTGTTTAGATCTACTGGATTCCGAAGAAGAGGCAAATTTCTCATTTTCATCACATGGACTCCTGGAATCGCGTCGAGTTCCATGTTTAAATCCACATTTAGAGCGGCTTTGGGTGTAAAGCGCGGCTATCGAGGACAAAGATGAGGCGTCCGAGTGGTTTCCATCTAAAGATAAAGTAAATAATGTGAGTGAACCAAATAATATAAAGTGCTGACTTTGACCCAGTTCAAATTTAAGAAATTACCATCAAGGCTAGAGGAGCGAGTGAGTGAATCGGAACATGACGACCCAGGTGAAGAATATGATT